GGAAGAGCTGCAGCTACGGATTAATCAAATGTGTCAAGAAATCCAAACCAAGGAGGGTGTTTTCGAAAGAGTTCGAATATCGTTGAGACGAAGATGTCGTGCCTGCTTGGAAATGGACGGAGGGCACTTTGAACATCTTCTGTAACTTTGTTTTTTGTTCCTTTGTCGGTTTATTCCTAATAAAATAAAATTTTTGAAAAACGAATAGTGGTCCATATCTCCGCAACCGTTACTTTGCGGACCCATGTTTATTAAGACTTTTTTGCTTATTTTGGTTTCTACTATTACCTCCTGAAATATTTTACACTATTTTTTAACACCCTGTATTTCTATTTAATCTTATACAGGGTGTCCCAAAAGTGACGCCCGTCCTTATGGGTTTTGATTAAGGGGAGAAAAACAAATCGAAAATCAAGAGTGGAAATTTTTTTGGTTGTTTTTCTTTGCAGAGTTATTAAAAAAATTAATCAAAAAACTAAAAATAAACATTTGGGCTGGGTTATTAAATATTTATGGAGTTCAAAGCTTCATTTGCTGCAGCTGTATGTTTTTAAATTAAACTTACAACTTACCATTGCCATTGCTGCATGACGTTCCGTTAGCAGATAGACTAAATTATTGGTTTCAACATGATGGGCTCCATCACAATATGGTTTACGAATATAAAATTATCTGAATCAAAACTTCCGAGACAGATGGATTGGAAAAGGTGGACCATGGCCTGGGGTTATTTAAAAGAAAATATTTTTAGTCCGTATATACGCTGCAGTTACGTTAATAGACCAAGAGATGCTACAAAGAGTTCATGTTTCAATGTTGAATCGTGATAATCTTTGTCTTGAAGTAGAAGGCAACTTATTTGAACACCTTTTACATTATGATTTTATTATAAAAATGTTTTTCTCTATCCTTTTCAGGTTAAAATAATTCCTTACACCCAGGTACAACCGACAATCGAAAACTATACTTATCTTCCTACTATTGGTTGTAAATTATATGTCTTGGTTCCCATAAGCACAGACCTCAGTTTTGAAACAAAAAAAATTGATTTTCACTTTTTTAGTTTTTTGAATAACTCAACAATGGAAAACAATAGGAAAATTTTTCACTCTTGATTTTCAATTCGTTTTTGTCTCCTTAATCAAATCCTAGAAGGACGGGCGTCACTTTTGGGACACCCTGTATATAGTATAATACTTGTGAGGAGTTATTAACTTATTTAAATTTTAAGATTTTGATTTGCAGTCTGTTTAATCTGAAAATACAAGTTCAAATGTTTTTCAATTTACAGCAATAAACAATATGTCTTAAATTATTATCATCGTTATCAAAAATGTCTTAACATTTTTTTGTTCTATTAAATGCTATAGAAATAGATGTATTTTCAATTTAAATTAAATGAATAAATAAAATATATTTTTTAAGTTGATGATAAAAGAATTTTTTACATGTCAACATTTTGTCCAATTCAAATAGGTATCTTTATAGTGAAGGAGTAAATTGCAATAAAATGTGAATTATAGTGATCCATAATTCTCATTCTATTGAGATTTAATCCCAGTCATCGCCATCTACACATTTTATAAAACTTCTATGGCGAATATATTGATAAGGCATCCCATGTTTGTCGAGTCGAGGACGAATCCGATTTTATTTATCCAAACTGGAATCGGTCCCGATGAAATAGGGTACGACAGAAACGCGTGCTATCTTAGCCATAATATCACAAATATGTATCGGTTCTCCGCGATACAAACAAAAATCCGTATTAAGATACGGACTGTGTGTATCGAATATGAATGCGTCCAAGGGCGATGAGAAATTTACTTTCTGGGGCTTTGGGGGCTGCAGAAATGGGGCGCTGCGCTGGTGCACGTGCTTGCCTAGGTCTTTTATTCCGCTGTCAGATGTTTTCAATGGAATTGAATTACCTATTGAGCCGGGATTTATTTTGAACTGAGATTAGTGTGCCAGAAGGCCACTTACTTTGATGGAAGAGCGAGCAGTGTTTTCTAGGAACATTAATTTAGTCTTTACGGACGAGATATTTTTTAACACTTTAAATAACTGTTTATACTGGATGTTCAGTTAGTAATGGACCAAAGTTCATGCATCGTAATTCAAATAAAATTTAATTGAAAAATGCTTCACTTCGGTATTGAAAGTGAAATAATTTATCTCGAAAATTTCAATTTTCTGCTGCAGTAATCAATCCCAGAAATATTTCAGGATTCGGGAAAAACAAGAAAAATTTGGAGAAAGTCGTTTTTCTTCAATTTTTTTTCTTAAGGCAAAAACTGAAAGAAATCCGGAAAATTTTTTTTTAAAATACTTCTCCATAAATTTTGTTGGAATGAACCTCAAATAGTAGGGAAAATTACATATTTTAATTTATGTTGTTAAACTTAAAACAACTCAATATGATGAATTGTTGGTTTTATGTGGGGTCTTTGAATTACTGCTTATAAAATAAGTTTTTTTTTAAGAAAAAAATATATTCATTATTAGGTACCTTTCGTATTTTTACTCTGTTCAAGATTTTTTTTGGAACTTTATTAAATGAATAGTTAGTTATACTTCTCTAAGTAGTGAGCGAGTTGTTCCCTACTTCCATACAAAATCTGGTGGATTTCTATCGGTGGAAAACAATATCATTTCGCAGAGCCTTTATTTTTCTGCAACTTCTGTTTAGCTCAATTATCAGTTAACTCTATACGTTTCTTCTGTTTTTGGCTACAAGCCAGAATGTCAATCTTTGAAAGGAGAAAGTCATATCTTTCAATGTAACCATTCTAAACGGTCTAAACCACAGTCTATCCTCCACATGGCTGACATATTCATTTTCCTCTTTAATATATAATTTCATAGTTTATAAACAAAAGTCCTTAATATTATTAAAAATATTGAACCCCAAAAGTTATCATTAATAATACAAGGAGTTTCAAAATCATAATGCCATAAATTTTAACGGAAGATAGGGAAAATGAGTAGAATACGAATACGCGATTAAAAAAAAATTAAAATGCTGAAACAAATATTTTCAAATCATTATTTAAATTCCTTTTCGTACCGCTCCTGACGGCCGACCTACGTCGAGAGTAAATCTTGATCTACCGCACTGGTCGGTCCCTAACCTAACTTTAATACCTATTCTTAACGTTTTCACTATTTTCTAATTGAATATGAGTTTTGAGTATTATTACATAATTATTTAGTACGTACATCATCAAGTACGTAATTATTTAGTTTGTAGTACGTATACTTTATTGTATAACTTATTACTTTTCAGAGCTGTATGCTACTTACTTATTTAAAATGACAAATACGCCTAAAAACATTCACTCATTCGTGCATAAAGTGTTAATAAAGTTGAGATGTGTTGCACTTCGATTTTGAAAGCAATTGCAAAACTGGACGAGACGACCAGACGACTGGGAAATCAGCTGTTTCCCTACAACGTTCGATCGCTGTGTACTCCGCCCGCGTTTTCTATTACGAAATGGAGCGCCGAGTTAACGGGAGTTAAGGGTAATTTGCTTATTTTATAAAAGGTCAAGTAAATGTATTTTTTTCGATTTTCTGTCTTTATTTGGTCTTCTGAATACGTGATTATAATTAATGGCATTATAACTGAAACACCCTATATAAATAATAATAAAATTAATTCAACAAAATCAGGAACTTCGAGAACAGGCAGGTAATGATATCGAAACCAGTTCGTTGTATCAATAACAAATGCTACATGCTACCGAATTTCGACAAGTATACCTTTTTTTTGTAGTATGCTTTGGAGTTTACAGAACCGTATTGGAAATGTAATAAATTTTGGCTTTAAACATATTTTTTTCGATTGTATCCCTCCAATTACCTGTATCGGCAACACTACTTTTCATAAAGAACCCATTATTCTTAACGCACAGTTGATGTTTACTTGTATACAAATTTTGACAATTTTATCTTCAGCCGATTTAAAGATAATTAAGGACATTTGGAAAGTAACAACTTCAACACACTGTATCTCGAAAACAGGTCGTCTAAGGAAAAGACTTTACATGAACTATCCCTATTGTTTTTCCATGAGGAACTTGCACACAGTTTTTTTGAAACATGAACGGGACAACATATATCCTATATACCAGAAATTGCTCACTATTCCCTGTATACATAAATACAATAATTTTAGACATAGGTGGAAACTCTATTCTCATTTTAAATAAGGAAATAGTGCAATAAATAAAAAGTAACTCAAAACACCGATTTTCACTGCCTACTTCTATTTCTTATAAAAGCACGATCGCTTTTTCTTATTGTTGATTTTTTTATTTTTTCTTGGTCTTGGAATTCTATTGGTCAATAGCTCCCATGTATATACATTTCATATGCCTTCTTCATACATAAAAATCAAGATGTATTAAATCTGGAATTGAAAGAGGAAGACCACAGCTTCAGTGGATATTTTTATTTTTGCCTTTTGTTTCATGAATTTAATATGTTAAAAAAAATGTTTGTATAAAACCAACAATAAGTTTATGGAAACTTTATCTAACAGTGTCTTTCCTCAGTTTAGGCCAATATTGGATGCGAATTCGTACCAAAAACCAATGTAAAATGTGAAATTAAAACAAATAACGGATTTACATGTGAGCTATTACTGAAGTATTAAACAATTTGGACAGATTTTATTTTACTTTTAGGTACTTTTCGTGTAATCGATTCGCATCCAATGTCGCCTTATTTTTACATGGGTAAGGTTTACACATAAAAACGCCAATTTACCACTTACATGTTTTTTAATAAAAAATATAACAAATTGTTCTAAAATTAGACTTAATTATACCGTGGCGTGATGAGGATTTTATCGGTGACACAGCGATGTTAATTACTAGTGGTGGTTTTCTCTGTTACACCCGATGCAGTGGTTTCGCCGCCAGAACTGTCTTCTGGTATGCTTATCTGGAACTGGAGTAGCACCACCAAGTACGTTACCATCGTTGCAATTAGCTGAAAATAGAAATTAGGGTCGTTTGTAAAGTGCAAGCTTCAATTATAGCATGGGTAATTAAAAGGGGCCTGGTGGTATCAGCTTAGTTAGCGGAGTACGAAGCCCTTTCGTCATAAATAATGATAACTTTCGAGGCCTATACTCTTCTCTTATCGACACTAGGTTCAATTAAAATTTTGTACGAGGTTTCGTCGAAAATTAGTTGGTAAGTATGTCTCTCACCCTATATTGGAGTCAGCTGGGGTAACCGTAAACAGTGAGTTACATGCGTTGCGTATATATTTGACACTATTGATAAAACAAAAATATGAAAAACAAAAAAAACAAAAGAAACAAAAAATCAAAGAAACAAAAAACAAAAACAAAAACAAAAAACAGAAACAAAACAAACAAAACAAACAAAACAAACAAAACAAACAAAACTAACGAAACAAACGAAACAAACGAAACAAACGAAACAAACGAAACAAACGAAACAAACGAAACAAACGAAACAAACGAAACAAACGAAACAAACGAAATAAACGAAATAAACGAAACAAACTAAACAAACAAAACAAACAAAACAAACAAAACAAACAAAACAAACAAAACAAGCAAAACAAACAAAACACACAAAAACAAAAATCAAAACAAAAACAAAAAACAAACAAAAAAACAAGTTAAAAGCACTTTCATAGGCTGTCACTCTTATCTACCATATCATACAGGGATGGCCAGAAGTATGAAATAAAATTCATCTTTTGAATGAATTAATTTTTTTTTAAACGCCGAAACACGTTAACTGATTTTGATTTTTTCCCATCTTTCGGTTATATAATAATTAATTTTTCTTCAACCCCCTAACCCCCAGCTACTTCTACTTTTTTTTTCAAATGGAAACATAAGGCATGAGGGGGCTCGTTGAAAAGCTTATAGAAAACCGAATCCAGCCATACCAAATAAACAAGTTTTATTTTTTCAATAACAAGTTTTTTTTCATTTAGAAATTGAAACAACTAGATAATTTACAAAAATAAACTCAATGTCGCAAATGCTGAAAATGTCCTCCATTCACTATTTGGCATTCTCCAAGACGATAGTAAAAGCTGTCCACAGCATTCTGAATGACTTCAGCTGGTAAATTATGCATCTCCGCCCTAATCTTGTTCTTTAAATTCTCAATATTATCCGGTCTGTCCTGGTAGACTCTTTCTTTCAAATATCCCCAAAGAAAATAATCCAGGGGTGTTAAGTCGGGGGATCTTGGCGGCCATTCAACTGTACCCCGTCTACCAATCCAGCGATTTGGAAACATTTCATCTAAGTATCTTCGAACATCAATACCAAAATGTGGGGGAGCGCCATCTTGTTGGAACCAAATTCTTTCATTCGGTATATCTGGATCAATTTCATGAGGGAAAATCACAGCTAGAGCAGGTATCAGGTCAAATGTTAGGAAATCCAGGTAGCGTGCGGCAGTAAGATTTTCTTCAAAAAAGAATGGGCCCAAGATTCTGTTGTTGATGATACCTGCCCATACATTAACTTTTTGTGGATGCTGCGTATGCGATTCGCATGTCCAGTGTGGATTTTCCTGGGACCAAAAGCGATAGTTGTGCCTGTTAACCACTCCATTTAAATAAAACGTAGCTTCATCCGAAAAAAGTACGTCTCGTTGAAAACCATTATTGTCGTCACACCGTCTCATCATTTCCTCACAAAATTGTAATCGCCTATCATAATCGTCTTCCAAAAGCTCTTGGACAAGACATACCTTATAGGGGTGGTATTTCTCTTGTTTCAGAAACATTCGAATTGCAGTTCGAGAAGCATCGTGATTGCGGGCCAATGAAACAGTTGAAGTATGAGGATTTTCAACAAGTTCTAATGCAATGTCTAATTTCTTTTCTTCATTCAAAGCACGTGCCCGTCCAGTTTTGGGCAAAGTCTGTACTGTACCGTGTTCCTCAAATTTGTGAAATATTTTACTAACTGTCCCTTGCGAGATTTGGTTTTCGGGATATTTCGCATTAAATAAATCGCGCACTTCAGCCTGACTTCTTATTTTGTCTCCACATCCAAGCAATATCAAGATTTCGATGCGTTGCCTTTCCGACAATACCATTGCAATTCAGTAAATAACTTGATTTTGACACAATAGTAACGTTTCGAACTCCAATTTACAACTAAAGCGAAAAATTAACCAGAAAGCCTGGCAAGTAAGTGGTGCCAAAAAAACGCAACATAAAAAATATATCTTTTTTGCGTTAGCAGTGATAGGTACAGTTTCAAATTCTTTATTTTATTCTGTGCAAATTCATGGAGGATAACACTGAAGATAATTAAATTTTATTTCACTTGTTAAGTAGGTGTTTTATACAACCCTAAAAACCTTGCTATTGAAAAAATAAAACTTGTTTATTTGGTATGGCTGGATTCGGTTTTCTATAAGCTTTTCAACGAGCCCCCTCATGCCTTATGTTTCCATTTAAAAAAAAAGTAGGGGTAGCTGGGGGTTAGGGGGTTGAAGAAAAATTAATTATTATATAACCGAAAGATAGGAAAAAATCAAAATCAGTTAACGTGTTTCGGCGTTTAAAAAAAAATAACTCATTCAAAAGATATGAATTTTATTCCGTATTTCTGGCCATCCCTGTATAATATGTAATTAATATGATTTTGTTTCAAACTGATATTTGTCGACATGTCGCGATAAAACCAAAGAAGCATCTATATTTCAAAACAGTAACCCAAGAACAAATCAATAAAGCCAAGGAATTACTTAATAAAAAGTCCGGTAAGAGGAAAGGAAGCTTTCTAAAGTAGTAGAGATTAGTGAAACAGTTTTACACAAAAGGGGAAAATTAAACATTGCCTCCATTTTCCGGAACAGTAGAGTGCTATCTTGAATTAAATATGCCTTTATTTAATCACAAAAAAATATAACCGTTTATGTTTACTCTAATAAGTGTTTTCTTTGCAAAGAGTTTAATGAAATAATAAATAAAAGTTATTTTGTACGAAAAAAAAAATAAAGTCATGTTTAGTTACCCCTAATGACTAAAAATCAAGTAAACTTCGTGAAACGATTATATTGTTTCCAACATTTTCCAGATATAGGTTTTTATTTCAGGGAGCATCAATTTTATTTCAAAATAATTTTAATGCAGAAAATATTAAATTGCTTGAATTTCAGAATACGCAAATGCATTAGGCCTTATTAGGTTTTGAAAATAATTTTTTTTATCTCATTATTACTGCTTCATTTGATCAAAATCAATTTACATTTTTTTTTTAAATATAATTAACCGTTTGAGAAATTCTAGACGAGTTCAAAAGTTTTTTTAATATTTTTTTTAAAGGGAATTGACTAACCTGAAATATGAACAACACCTGAAACTAAATGAAGATTAAATTGAAAACCATCAATCCTAAAAATTTGCTTTTTGCTATAAGAGGGAAAATAGCAATTTTAGACACTATATGAAAATACATATTCCAAATTTGATACATGCAATTTTCGCGTAGAATTTATTTACAGTTCTCAGATAATCAATAGTATGGAAAACTATTAAACAGTTATACTTTATTTTATTATATGATCTAAAAGGACGATAAAAAAATTATTATTAACTATAAATATATTAAAAACATTTAAACATTGTTTAAAATTTTGCATGTGTAGGTAATACTCGTAGCGATGCTGCTGCCAATTTTCAAAGCTGATTTCGTCAAAACTAAGAAAAAAACAAGTGAAACGAACTAAGGGCTTTATTATCCTTTATAAATTTCTATGGAAAAGCAGTTTTTCATCAGTTACCCAAGAACTATTGAAAATATATAAGTTCACATTTGATAATGGGCAGTTCCCTTATAGTGGTTATTGTTGTGTCAACTTGAACAACACCTAATTAGTGATTTCGGAATTAGAAGATATCTAAGGGGTTCCAACCATCAGACGAAAATTGTTTGACGGTAACAAGATTTTTTTTTATAGTTTTGGATAGACCATTTCCAAAAAAAAAAAAATTCGTATCTACCTTTCAAATTTTTTCATTTCATAGAATGTACGGTTTATGAATAAAAATCCAAAAATCATAACAATGTCTTGAGCAATGGATCCTATAAGTTAATTATTGCCTCCAATATCTCGGCAATTAGAGGCATAGGAATTTTAATTTTCAAATACTCCTGTTCTAAAAATGCGTCTAACTTTATCATCGATTTCGAAATTTTAAGAACGAACGATGCATTCTACGAAAAAAACTCAAGAGTAACAAATATTTTATTTGGAAATATATAATTTAAATTTTCAAAGATGATCCTATTTAATGTCAGATAACTTTTTTGGCAATCACAGCCTTTCAGACTTCTAATTACGATCATGCTCATGAGTAATTTTTGATTAAATTTTATTTATAAGTAGCTAGTATAAGGAGAGTGGACTGTACCAAATTCGAACTTTGTATCTTCAACGATTCTTGAAAAATTTTTCAAAAACTTTCTCAGACCTAATCTTTGAATGGCTGTGTAGCCCTCAAAAATCATTTTAGGAAAAGTCGTTATAGGTACACGTTTATTGGAAGAAATCAGTTCCTAAAGTTTATCTCAACCTTGCTGATATACCGTTTACGCGTATTTAAAAAACATTTGGATATTACACTTGAGCAAACCTTTATGCATTTTCTTAACACGTAATAAATAAGTGTAAGTATGCGGAAAATTAATTTTTGTGCCAGAAAAATCCAACTAAACCCGAATTAATAGAAAGAAACAGAACATGTATAAAAATAAACCTTTTTCAAAGCAGTTACAACTGATATATCTACATTTCAGTTATACATGACAGCAGCTAGTCGGATTAAACTCAGACAAGAACTAATTATCAATTTCAGTAACTGACAGCCTTGTAAAGCGTTCTGCTATTTCTGTGATGATATGATATAATACAGGGTGTAACTAAATAAGTGTAAAACATTTAAGGGGGTGATTCCTCATCGAAAAAAGATAGGATCTT